TTGTAATCACGATATTCTGAGAACCTGTTAATGGATTACAATTGAACTTGAATTTGAAAAATTTCTTCTGTTTTGGTTTGTAAAATTGCTCTATGACGGAGGCATCATTTTCGACTGCGCGCAGTCGAATTCCATCTAGTTTTAATAACCATGGTTATTAAAAATATTGAAATGTTTTATGCATGGTTACCGGGAATTTTACAGGAACAGTTGAAGTTTATGAATGCAATTCGACCAATCAGATGGCTGGATTTCTTAAGTGAGGTATATAATTTCTATTAACCTCTGTAGAATAATAATCATCAAGTTTATTTGTACCCAACTACTTGTTTTAATATTTGATACACAATCATAACCAATAATGCTATCATTGGTAAGACAACATGTGAATTGTTTATAGTGGGGAATGATGTGGTCAAAATTATGCTGATATTTCATCATTAGTATTTAGGTTAGAAAAATAGGATTTGTGTTTAAATATTACCAAAAGCTGGATACTGAACCTGAATATTTAAAACGCTTGTGGCCGCAAACAGATGATCATTGAGCGTTAAACTTTATGGATACATTGCTACTTTGAGGCATGTCTTTTCTTATTTTTATTGACATTTATTTGTTTTGGGGGGATTAGTAATAAATTCCTTCATCTTTGTGCACAACAGTAAATGAGCTTGTACTTTCCTGACCATTTGGCAACATCCCATTGTCAACATTTTATTACTTGTAACAAACATCTCTCTCTTCGGTGCGAAAGTGAATTTCAAAAAAAAAATTATATAACATTTTTTTTTAATGTAACTTTTTTTTTTTTGAGGTTCAATATCCCATACTTGGCTTTCTGCCTACATTAGCAAAATTATTAACATTCCATAACTTTATGTCTTTGTTCTTTCAACTTTGTTCCATTGTGTGCAGACTTCTATTGTTTTAGTGGTTCTTCACCTTTATGCAGTCATTGAACCAATTCCTCTGTTCACTGTAAACCTTTCTTTTACCCTATTGTTGTAATGAGTTTATTAATCTATTTAATTTCTCAACTGTTGTGTGCTATTGACACAATTGTTTATTTCATCTCAAAATTTCAAACTAGAAAAAATATGGTAGTATCCCTTATTTTAGTTTAATTCTGGTATAGATATGTTATTGTTTTATAAGGAATATAGGATTAAATGTTATTGGAATATACAGGTCGAGGCTTTTAAATATTTTAACTCTGGACTCTGAAAGATTATTACAAATACGGATATGATACTTTCTTGCAATATGCCTACTTTTCTCTTTATTATTCCTCTCTTTCTACATATTATATTTTCCTCTTCTTCATGCAATTTTTTTTTTTTTTTTATGTTAATTTCATCCTTGTCTCATTGATTTCTGTTTCCTCTTTAATTTGTTGTTGTTTGTGCTAGTTGTCTCTCTATTTTCTTCTGCCATGAGTTGTAATGATATTAGCTTGTTGTTCAATTCATAGTTAATACCTTTCTGGCGCACTACTTGCAAATTTGAATACTTGTAATTGCCTTCTTTTCCTTCTTTTCCACCCTCTTTTGTTTCTTTTGCTATTTGTTTTTTATATATTGAGAGCAAAAAGAACGTTAACTCTATACTTCTACACAGAGTTAACGCCCTTGTGGCTCCTGATTTTCTTTATACAATTTATTCCATTTTTGTCTATACATCGTGTCAAACATATATCTCATGCCAACTTTGATGAAGGTCCATATGCTAAGTATACTCTAGAGAAGTATTACTCCATTTTCAGCCTGCAAACCCAATAGTTGAAATAGTGTACCACGATTACTGGGGCAACAGCTGAAAACAGAGTGTCCCAATATCTCTCCAATTTGAACTTCTTATTTGTAGTCCCCAGCCATTCTCAAGCCTGATTCCCGGTCAAAAGGCCTGTCTTCACTATCTCGAGATTGCCAAATATCCAGCTATTTAAACTATCCCGATCCGCAAACTACCCAGCTAATTTGCGTCTTCATCAGACCGAAGTAGCAATTAGTGGGATATTTGGTCGGGATTGTCATCCCAAGATATCTTGGGATAGTTTGCAAAATATCCAACTATTTGTCAAAATGTCCAGCTATTTGTCCTGTGCGACTTCACTAGACCGAAGACTCGCCCTATGCGCTAACGCTGAGCAAAATATCTTGAGCTAATTTCTCAAGGACGAGTTTCAAGTTTCGAAGTTGAATCTCGAGCTGATGAAGACGCGATTTGGAACTTCAGGGTCATTTACCAAATCAGAAATAGCGGGCTATTTGGCAATTTCGAGATGATGAAAACGTGCCTATTGGGCTCTCTTTTCCCCTCTTTTGATAGGATTGTTTTAATGATACGGTCAAACCTGCTTTAGTGACCACCTGTCTACAAAGACCAATTTTTTTTTCCCTTGAAAATTGTTTCTCATTGAAACATGTACTAAAGGAACCTGTCTACAAAGACCACTTTTTGTGTTTCTCTTGGGCAGTCGCTATAGACAAGTTTGACTGTATGATATGTAGAGGACCTTCAAAATATAGCTTGAAACTGAAGTATTGATTTTTATGTTTGATCAAAATAAGCTCAGAATCCTTGACTTTTTGTTTAAATTCTACATCAATTCTCCTCTCATTTTCACTGATCTGTTTCCTTTTTATGTTGTTGTTAAAACCAAGTTGATACCGACTTTCCCCATTTAGTAATAGGCAATGTACAATTCATTTTATTTATGTTCCTTTTTTATTTCTGTATTTTTCTTTGGTACTAGAGAAGTTTAAAAAAAAAATAATAATCTCAATTTCATAAGTTTGCTTGTGAAATAATTAAAATGCTTTATGCCATTTTAGAACTGTAATAGAATGTGAACGACCCCTAAATGACAGCTACCAGTCACTTTGATAGTGCATCGCTTTGTAGGTCACGATAAAAAAGAAAAAAATCACCTGTTAAAAAAAGAGGTAATACTAGGTCTACATGCACGTGCATAAAAAAAGATTGATATATCCTAAAAAATGTATAGTTTTTTTCTTATTTGCTCTTTTTTTATGAACTAGATGTAATTTATCTCTCCCCCTCTCCCTCTCTCCCTCTCTCTCTCTCTCTCTCTCTCTCTCTCTATCTATCTATATATATCTCTCTCTCTCTCTATCTCTCTCTCTATCTATCTATATATATATATATATATCTCTCTCTATCTCTCTCTCTCTCTCTCTCTCTCTATCTATCTATATATCTCTCTCTATCTCTCTCTCTCTCTCTATCTCTCTCTCTCTCTCTCTATCTCTCTCTCTCTCTCTCTCTATCTATCTATATATATCTCTCTCTCTCTCTCTATCTCTCTCTCTCTCTCTCTCTCTCTCACTCACATTTCCTCATTCTGTATGTAGCAAGTATCAAGGATGATAGATTTATTATTTTTTAACTGAATGTCAAGGAGAGAAAAAGAAGAAACCTTTCATTTCTTCATCTATTCTTGTAGAATTGTGTGGGAGTGAGGAGCATTAAAGGATATCTATCTTTTATACTTTTCTTACGCATTTCACCTCACTAATAATCTATTTTAGGTTCAGATGCCTTCCCCCGTAAAAACCTTGTGCTTTTCTTTCCTTATCTTTTCCTTTTTTTCTTCCCTCCCCCCCCCCCCCCCTCTTTTCTGTCATTCTTTCTCTTATGGAATATTTTTATTCATCTTCATAGGTTGATCATGCATTTTTGTTCATATTTGTGTTCTACATATTATCATGGATGATTATAAGTACTCAATTTGAATTGAAGTGATTGGCATTTTGATTTAAATGAATTGTTGGTTCTTTTGCATGTAAAGAGAAGGTTGAGTTCTGGGAAGAGGTGAAAAATAATTTGTGAGCGTTTTCATTCTTATTATGCAAGTGTGGAAGAACATCAGATATAGACATGTTCCCTGAAAAGCATGGCTCTTCAAATGCCTTCTTCATATTCTAAATATGTCATGTAACATCGTAAAACTCCAGGGTAGGATATTTACGCCACGTGTTTGTGTAGTCCCATATACATCTTTCTGTGTACAGTGTTTGTAACTTTACCAAGACTCGGCCAAATTTCTTATCATTTTGATGATTCCAGAACCTTGCAATACACACAAATTCTTATATGCTAGATGATCAACCTTTTCTGGTCGATTCTACACCGTTTCTTTCACAATGCAATTGCATGACCAGAACTCAACTTTATCTTAAACTTGGAATGGACAATATCATTTAGCCAATGTTTTTGTGTAATTTATCTTAAGATATGTTTTTATCATATTGGTATTGTTATTATCCTTGAATCTGAGATACATGTTCATAAATGCATTTTCTATAAATTCTTTATTTTATGTGTGCAGATCTCTTCCGTTCATATTTTTGTCTTCTCTCTCTCTCTCTCTCTCTGACTCACTCACTCTGTCTTTCTTTCCCATCTCTCCAGTTATTTTCACAAATATTTCCCACTTTCCTTCACCCCCTTTTCTCTCTCTCTCTCTCTCTCTCTCTCTATCTATCTATCTATCTCTCTCTTTTTTTTCTCTCTCTCTCTCTCTCTCTCACTCACTCTGTCTATCTGTCTTACTATTATTCTTTTGACATTTTTTTATTGTGTTCTTTAAATTGCATTTTTTTTTTAATTTCTCTTTAATACAGAAACAACTTCTCTTTTTTTTTGGGGGGGGGGGAGGGGTTAATGAAGCCAAACAATTGCCAAAAATACATTTGAATATATTTTCATGTCCAGTAGAAAGGCATGAACGCACCAACAAAATTGGGGTGGGCTGGGGTCAAAGTTAATCATTTTTATAGTAGATAAACTCATTTGATGTAGTCAAGAACTGTCAAACCTTTAACAAGAATTTACTGTTGTGTCATTAATTCAAAATCAAGGTTGGTTTTTCATGCATCCACTTGCCCCCTTCTGCTTGGCACACAATTCTATTAAATACTTGCCTCTAACTGATTGCTTGTAAACATTACCTCTATTCTCATAATTTATCATGACAGGGCCGCAGCACTGGATGGATGGTTCCTGGCCTCATGCCCAGAGGATGTCCTTGAGAGAGAGAGAGAGCAATATTCTGACCATGGCCATCACCCCCCCCCCCCAACCCTCACAGCGCCCCGACCCTCACACTGCCCCAGCCCCAAAGCCACCCTCATCCTTAACCCCCTTCTCCTTGCCCTCACCATCATCGCCTTCTTCCCCTCCTCCTACCACCCCCATCCTCATCCTAACCTCATCTCCACCCTAACCACATCTCCTATTCCACCCTAACCACATCCTCAATCACCCCAATCCTAACCCCACCCTCACCCCACCCTCACCCTCACCCCACCCTCACCCCACCCCACCCCCAATCCCATCCATATTCCATCCCCATCATCCATCACATCCCAAGAAGCCAAACATCCTCTCAAACTTTGTCTCTGTGCCAAGATGGAAGAAGACCGCAAACATCCAGCTGGGCATTCCTTTCCGTTCACAATAATAATCAAACAGTTGGTTACAATTTAAAATGATATATCCTATTTCTCAGAAATAGGATTTTTGAAAGAAGGCCAGGAATGTTATGCTTTCTATTGATACCAACTAACTCTCCCATGTTTGGAGAAATATGTTTGGCATAAATGGAAAATATCCATTCAGAACGTGAGAATATCATGGGCAGAAAGTGAAAGTGTTTTTTTAGATATGTGTCTTCTCGAAGGTGAATCCTAAGGTTTATGCCAAACATAATCGTACAGGTGATTCCGGTATCATATGTCAAGTTTATTTCCAACTGTTAAGGTCAAATGTTTCGATCAAGGTCATAGACTTCATGGAAAAATATGTTTTTGTTGCAGGCCCTTTTAATGGTGTTTACAAACACAAATCATGTGTTCTAAATACAAAAATATTAAACAACAAATCAGAAGCCTTCAAACCCATCTGTATTTTTTTTTAGTACAATATTTTTCTGGAAAGTTCTTATAAGGTCATGGAAACAAGCAATCTTAGGTTTCTTCAGGGTTGCAGTTGCAGTTTTTAGCATTGGCAAACTGAAATAAAGAGTAAATGCCCAAATTTTAGTTCTCAAAAATAGTAAGATAACACATTTATCCTCTATAAATTGATGCAACAAGACATTTTATTGTTCACTGAGTGTGTATACTGCAATATCTCGTTGTAGAAGTAATATTTGAAGCTTATATTTGGAATATAGGATAGCAACATGGAGCTCCTAACATCAAGAGCAAAACATATTTTGGTGATTGTTATACTTTCCACCTTTTTTACCTTTTTTCAATGTATAGAATTAGTTTGTAACACTATATCTGTACGTCACCAGATAGTGTGCAAAACTTCCTTTCATTCATTTATTTCATCATAGTTAGAAACAAAAGAAGAATAGAAATATAGCGGACAGCTCTTCTACAGCTTGTCTGTGAGAACCAAACATATTCTTCATGTAAAGATATGTTTTGAAACGACTTTCTGCTTAATTCCTAGATAAAAGGATATTAAAAGAAAACAATCTCTTTTGAAGGTATTGACTTTCAAGACACCCTTATTTTGTATTTATTTTAAGGAGAAATGGTTGTAATTCATGGATTGTGTTTGACAGTTCAACAAATATGTAGCCTGTGTTTCAGTCATAGCATTTTGTATATTTTGAGCCAGAAGGGCATTCATTCCTTTCTCTTAAAGGTAATACAAAGTTTTGGGAAATTTTTTAAATGGGCTCAATAGTGATTCTTTACAATTTTGATATTTTTGGATGACCCTGTGGATGTATTATAAGCACTAGAAAATTTGTTCCCTTAAACACTTCTGCTTTAGAGAAAAATTTAATATAAAAATTTACCGGTACTCCCGGTAAATTTGGATAAATTTCAAATGGCGCTTACGGCCATACAATGGTAAGTGCGACCATGAAAATCTCAGAATATGTAGTTGTGATATGTAATTGCCAAACGGGAATAGCCAATCGGTCGATTTTAGTCCAGAACATTGTTTTATGGTTTAATCAATATTTTGACCTTGAGAGGGAGCTATACAACATGAAGAGTTCATTATTTACAATTTCATAACTTTCGACTCGATTTCAACCGCGATAACGATCACCGAATATTGTAGGATCACATATGCTTCCAATATGTTCATTTGAACCAAATTCATGACCCCATACCAGAACTTTGTATTACCTTTAACACTGAGTTAAAGGGGAAGTCCACCCAGACATTAAGTTGGTCTTAATAAAAGCAGAAAAATTAAAGAAACAAATAAGTAACAGTTTGAGCAATATCCAATTGAAATACGAAAGTTATGAATTTTTTTAAGTTGTCATCAGTGACACACACATTGGCGACACTGTGAGGTATGTATCTGCAAGCTCCTCTCCAAATTTCTCTGTACAGAAAATTTCATGAACTTTCATTTTCTTTGTAATAGTTTGCTCAAACTTTTACTGACCTGTTTCTCTCATTTTCCTGCTTCTATTTAAACCAACGTAATATCAGGGTGGAATTCCCCTTTCCAACCCCTCTGGATCCAAGCCAACAATTCGTTGGCTTTGTTAGAAAGACAACTATACTTTAATCAAGTGTTAACTGATGCAACAATTACATGAGTATTATTCAAGATGGTGGGAATAATTACATTATCCTTGCACTTCTGCAATTTCAGATTTTTTTTTTTCAAAGTAAAACAATTTCATAAGGTTTAGACTTGTGCAGGATATGGCTTTTGTAATACCTTTCAAGGTCATTCTGACTATTTTCGTAACAGTTTGTGGTTTTTGTTGAAAATTGAAAATTGTCAAGACTGAGATATGTGTATACCCATAGATGCACATTAAATCAAACTGTCCCATCAAAGCATTAAAAAGAAGAATTGTTCATTAAATTAGGTGTTTGGTGCCCATATTGATCTGTATTTGATTATTTTTTCATTGGTATTGTTAAAAACTTATATCTTTAGAACTTGAGTTTCAAATAGAGTATTTGAAGTAGATTTCCATCCATTTGCCTGTATGCATGATAGCATGTCAACCAAAATGTATCAATCTGTGTAGAGTATCAGAGTATTATTGCCAAACATATATAAACACACTACACTGATAAAAGGCTCCATTATGTCTGGGTAATGGTCTTCCAGCCCTCAGTTACTGCAATTTCTATATTTCTTACTTCTTTCTTTTTTCTTAACTGTTAAGACTTTTAAGAACCATGTTCGCATGAAAGGAATGCTCCCTTGGTGGATGCCAAATATTTAATTGTGCATTTCATAAATTACAATATGAAATGTACGTAGATATGAAACAATACATGTTTCTTTTATTTTGTTAAAGGATGAATGTGATTTATCCTTTTATATACCTTTTCTATACCAAAAACAAGATGTTATTTGGTTGAATTATTGCTCTACATGTCTGTATAAATGTAATAAATTCGAACTTTTTGAAGAGATATTATAAGATTTATTGTATCATCGTGCTTAATTCTTTTATTTGTGTCTTGGCTGTGATGTTGATAAAACAAATGTCAATCAAATCAGAGCAAAATTCCCTTTTGTTCCATGGAGATGAAATCATTGATTTTTTTTAATGGAATGAATTAAATTGAACTTATATTTGATTTAACCTGATTTAATTAAATTTTCTTGGACTGGACTGAACTGAACTTGAACTGAAGCAAAGTTAATCAATTCGAAATTGAAATTGAGAATGAAAATAATTTGAATGTTGTGGCCAAGAAACCATTAGCAGTATTCTCTTCACAATTTACCGGGTGTGAAGATCCTGTGCATATCATTTCTGTTCCTGCAAAGAGTAAAATGTATGACATTTTTACTGGCACAGTTCTTTTTATTTCTTTCTTTTCTGTTTTGATTCATTTTAAGACTATAGCGAAAGGACCAATTTGTATGTTTTTGTCCATGGAATTTAGAGAGAGGGAGAGAGAGAGAGAAGTTTGAGGGGAGGGTGAATTTGAACAAAAGAAATCCGAAATGCAAGAGAGAGAGAGAGAGAGAGAGAAAAAGGGGCGGTTTGAGGGAGGGAAGGGTAAATTTAAACAAAAGAAATCTTAAATGCAAGAGAAAGATAACTAAGAGAGAAGGGGGTGGTTGAGGGAGGGAAGGTGAATTTGAACTAAAGAAATACCTGAAATACAAGAGAAAGGGGGTTAAGGGGGTAAAGATGAATTTGAACAAAGGAAATCTGAAATGCAAGAGAAAAATTAAGAGAGGAGGGATTGGTTGAGGGAGGGGAGGGTGAATTCAAACAAGAAAAATTAGTAGCTGAAATACAAGAGAATCATTACTAAAAAGAGAAATAGAGAAGGAGATAGTTGAGGGAGGGAAGGGCAAATTTGAACAAAAGAAATAGCTGAAATACAAAAAAAAGGTTAGTAAAAAAATTTAAAAAAAAGATATAAAGGGGGTGGTTGAGGGTGGGGAGGGTTGATATAAATAAAAGAAATAGCTGAAATACAAGTGAAAGATAATTATCTAAAAGAGAAAGAGGGAAGGGGTGATTGAGGGAGGGAAGGGTAAATTTGAACAAAGGAAATAGTTGAAATACAAGAGAAAGATTACTATTGAAGAGAAAGGGGTGGTTGGGGGAGGGAGGTTTAATTTAAACAAAAGAAATGGCTGAAATACAAGTGAAAGATATCTAAAAGAGAAAGAGGGAAGGAGTGTTCGAGGGAGGGAAGGGTAAATTTGAACAAAGGAAATAGTTGAAATACAAGAGAAAGATTACTATTATAGAGAAAGGGGTGGTTGGGGGAGGGAGGTTTTATTTAAACAAAAGAAATAGCTGAAATACAAGTGAAAGATAATTATCTAAAAGAGAAAGAGGGAACGGGTGATTGATAATAATAATAATAATAATAGCCTAATAGTCCACTCCAAATTTTATTAAAGCGAAACGGAAATTCTTTTTGCCCAATTGATCGTGAGCCCGGCAGTCACTGAGCAGCGCCAGATCGACGTTGCTCTATCCTTTAATTGTTGAACGCCAAACAAGGTAGCAACAACTCCCATCTTTTAACGTCTTTTGGTATGACGCGGCCGGGGTTCGAACCTACGACCTCCCGGTTGTGAGGCGGACGCTCTACTGACTGAGCCAACACTCCGGTACTGGGGGGGGGGTAAATTTGAACAAAGGAAATAGTTAAAATACAAGAGAAAGATTACTATTGAAGAGAAAGGGGGGGTTGAGGGAGGGAGGTTTAATTTAAACAAAAGAACTTACAGCTGAAATACAAGTGAAAGATAATTATCTAAAAGAGAAAGAGGGAAGGAGTGCTCGAGGGAGGGAAGGGTAAATTTGAACAAAAGAAATAGCTGAAAGAGAAAGATAATTAAACGAGAGAGAAAGGGATGGTTGAGGGAGGGAAGGGTGAATTTTAAGAAAAGAAATACAGGAGAAAGCTAACTAAAAGAGAAAGAAATAGGTGGTTGAGGGAGGGAAGGTTGAATTTAAACAAAAGAAGTATATAGCTGAAATATAAGAGAAAGATTACTAGAAGAGAGAGCTTGAGATTACTCAACCCTAAACGAAGACGGTGTCCTCTAAAATGACATCCGTGCAGGCGAATATATACTCCTTTATATTATATACATATTTTAAGAGCCAGGGACTGAATATTTGGTTCTTTTCATGATATAACAGTCCATTATTTGCTCAGATGCTCGCCAATGTTCTATATTAGTGCCGAGGACTTTTCTTCTCATTGTCGCTCTGTCTACATCCTTTGGCGAACTATATTCTCCCACGCTCCCTATTTTAACTTCTTTGAAACTGACATTAATAACCAAAAATAGTATTGCACTGTCACAAACCCGCCCTTATATAATTTTGCAAGTTGCAACCAAAATGAGTCTTAATTGTAATCAATATGCCATCTATAACTTTGAACGTCACTATTACGTCATTCTTTACTCTCAATATAGCTTGGGCATTTGGTAACCAAGAGCGATGGGTATTTCTAGAGTAATAAGAATCGACCTCAAATCAAAATGAAAGAAGCGGTCCTTTCTTTGATGGTGAATAAAAAGCGCCAAAGAGGAAATCGAATCGCATTCTGCTCAATGCAGCTATTTTTACACACAGATGAGGAAACGATGCATTGATTGTGGATGTGAATCGCCTCTGGATCGAAAACTCAGTGGAGCAATCATTCCAGACAATGAACTTAAATAAGAAAAGTCATATCATGATATCTTTTTAAATGTTTCTAGAAACTTTCGTGCCTGGAGGGGCGTCAGTCCACTTTCCGGAAGACAGGAGAAGAAGATTGGAAGGATGTGCTATAAAACACATTTGAACTTGCCGTTATTAGGGGGGGGGGTGCACAATATTGTCCCCACCCCTATATTCGCCTCTGTAACACTATATCAACTTACAGTTTCTTACAATTTGCAGGCCAAACAATGAAAAGGTTAAGTTCCAACGGCATTTGAAAGATAATACTAATTTAGAACTTCCCTAAAGACAAAAGGGCTCAGGCATCTGTTACGCGTTTAGTTTAAAACACGGTTGCGTCTTAGCTCACTTTTGTAGAATCACCGAAAAACGGCGATCACGATCGCCGATCGTAAACTCACAAAAAGATGCGTTTACAATTTGTAAACGCGTTTAAATGGGGTCAACGCACTGACCTCTAGTGGGTCTACGTAGCATGCACAGTGAAGGTTTGCGAATCCAGCTGGAAGACCAATTAAGGCCACA